CATCTTTGCGCTCGTTTTTGTTTGAAGGACCACGCGATGCAATATGCCTCCCCCCGCAATTGCAGATACGGGCCAGGGTGCGGCGGGGTCGTCGGCAACTTGCGAGACTCTGAAGAAGCCCACCGCAGGCGCCGATTCTTGACGCATTACACAACGGGCCCGCCGCATGCAACAATCTTTTTCGTCAAAGCAACGTGTTTGGGTCGGGGGGGACGCGGGCGAGGACGACGACAATAACCAACGAGCAACAACAGACAACAGCCAACAAGCAGCAAACAACACACAACACAGAACAAGCAACACACACACACCACACATTACAATCAACAATCACCAAACAACAAACACCACAACACCAAACACAACGACGACAACAACACCAACTGCAACAGCATTACCACCAACAACAACACCAACACCAACACCTCCAACATCAATACCAGCAACAGCGGCAACAGAAACAGCAACAACACCAGGCACATCAGCAACAACATAACCACCACCAACAACAACATCAATCACGATACTACCTGCATCAACAACACCAACAGCAGCAACCATAACAGCAGCAGCAACAACAGCACCACGCTTTTTTAAATGCCATTCGCTCTTATCCTGTGCACCTGCAGCGCGGACCGCTGCGAGGCTGTCTTGCCGCCCGGCCTGGAGGTGGAACACCTCAGCGTCTGGCAGGTGGTCGCCCCGCGGGACTTGGCTTAAGTCGGGCCTGTCCTCCTACAGGGGGATTTTGGACGAAAAATGACAAATACTCAAAACATGCTCCCAAATGGTTTAAACACATGCTCTAAAAATGACCCCCGACGATTCTTTTACTATTTTTGAATACTCCCCCTGTAGAGGGACAGGCCCGACTTAAGCCTTGGCGCGGAAGCAGAGCAGGCTGCTCTGCGTGGCGCCGCCGCCGAGCGGCCAGGTCGCTGCGGGCGGCCTGCACCCTGGGCCGGGGGGCGAACCCCCTCCAGGCCGCATGAGGACGAGGAGCTCGAGGGCCGCCCGCCTCTCTCTCGCAGGAGGGCCTGGCGCGGCGAGGGCGCGGCGACGCCGACAGTCGGGGGCAACGATCGGGGGGGATAGGCATAGGGGGGGATGCATCGACCCCCAATCGCCCATTGATCGCCGATAGGGCCCCGATAGCCCTGACCTGCCCAGGAAGGTGCGGATTCACTATCGGAGGCCTATCGCCGATCTATCGGCGATGTATCGCCGATTCCAGGTCGATGCATCCCCTCCTATGCCAGTCCCCCCCTTATCGCTGCCCCCCAGACAGGTGGAGCCCCTGCAGACCATGGCGTCGCGATAGCGAGGCGCGAGACCCCGGGAATTCCAGTAGCCGGGTCAGCTGAGGCCCCGCGGATCTTGGCGGACCGCGCGCCGCCGGCGGGCGCAGCGTTGCACGCTGCCGCAGCGGGCCGGCGGGCGGCGGGGGCCACGGACCGCAGCCCAGGGTGGTCAGTCCACTTCGTCAGCGGCTCGGACAGCGAGGCGCCTCCCCCTGCTCCAGAGGCGGCCCAGGCCGCCGGCGCGAGCCCACCTGAGACCTGGAAGCAGCTACGGAGCGACCTGCCGAAGAAGGAGGGCGAGAGTCGGGCCGCGCGGAAGGCTCGCGTGGTCGGTGCCAGGGTAGCTCCAGACTGCAGCTGGCAAGGCAACGGCCAAGGGCAAGAAGGGAAAGGGAGGCTCGAAGGATGGGAGGCCCCGAGCTCCTTGGACGAGGTAGAACGCTCGCCTGCCGGCCCAGCAGATACTGGTTCCCAGGGGCAGGCGGCTGGCGACAGCGCGGCTCTACCCCAGCAGATTCTGTTTCGTAGGAGTCGGGCGGCCGGCGGCGAGGCGGCTCTACCCCGGCAGGTTCTGGTTTTTGGGAGCCGGGCGGTCGGCGGTCCGAGCGCCCGTGCCGGGGCGCGGCCCAGTGCAGACGCTGGCGGCAGCTCCTCAGGACCGCGGGCATGGGGACAGCTCGAAGTTCAGGCTCGCCCTTGCTCTTCGCGAGGCTGCGCGTGGAACGCCAGGGGCAATCGGGCGATGAGTTCGGACTGTGTGCGCCTCGCCAGACCCCGCGGCCAGCTTCGCGCGGCTGCGCGAGGTGTTGCCGCTTCCTGTGCCCCCCGCCCCGCGCTTCGAGCGCCTCCGAGCGGCTTGCCATCGAGACCAGCAGCTCCCAGCAGCCGAGCAGGAGGTCAGCGAGGCCGCCGCCCAGGCTTGGGCGCAGCTGGTCGTGTTCAGCCTGAACTGCCGGTGCGTCGACCGCGCGCGGGCTCCGACGCCGGCGCCGAGGCGCGCCGCGGCCTCGCGGGCCAGCGCTCTCGAGATTGTGCGACGTGCCTGCGAGCGCTTTGCCCAGAGTTCGCAGGGGCCTGTGCAGTTGCCCGACTATGGCGGGGTCATCGCCTCCAAGGGCATCACCTGCGGCGGCGAGGAGGTGTCGCGGGCGCTGCCGCTCACCATGGGCGGCATTTTGCGTGGGTTGCCACAGGCAGGCGCCGCGGCTTGTCAAGGCGCTCGACGTCGCCGACGCCTGGGTGGGCAGCTGGATGGCCGGCTCCTCGCTGGCGCCGCTGCCCGAGGCCCAGTGGCCAGAGGGGGTTCCGAGGGCGGCCATCCAGAGCAAGTTGAAGCAGGAGTGGTATTCGATCGGGGCCAAGCTGGTCGAGCTCGGCCTCGCGACGCCCATCGCCAACGACCGCGTCTTCAAGGTTGGGGACCGCGAGGTGCTGGCAGGGGCCTTCGGCGCCCGCAAGAGCGGCGCGCCTGCGCCTGGCCCTTCTTGCGCGCGGCGGCTGATCATCAGTATGGCCCCCGCGAACAGCTACTAACGGATCATGTGGGGCGACGTCGGGGCCCTCGGCGCGCCGCCGTCATGGATGGCCATCCCTGTCCTCGAAGGGCAAGTGCTGCTCTTGTCGTCAAACAATCGGGCGTCCGCTTTTCTACAGCTGCGAACTCCCGGAAGCTTGACAGCCGTTCGTGGCGCTCGCGGGGGCGATCCCGGACGAGCTCATCGGGGTGCCCGGTCAGGGCAGGACGCGCATCTCGTTGCGCGTAATCCCCATGGGATGGGTCAGCGCTGTTACGGTATTCCAGCGCTGCCACCCAAGGCTGGGCTTCGGCGACCTTCCACTGGCGGCGGTTTCTGCCCGAAGTCTGGAGTGGCGCGAGGATCGGCCTCTGCCCTTCCTGTCCAAGGAGCTAGAGCAGCAGTGGGCGGGCCCAGTACTGCACCGGCGACTGGGACCACGGCGAGGTCGCCCCCGAGAGCCTGATCGCGGTGCTGCTCGGCGCGATCAGCGCGGCCCAGGCAGACCAGCGCGCCGCCCATCGGCGAGCGCGAGTCAGCGTCGCGGCCGGGAAGGCCAAGCGTCGGGAACTCGCACTCGAGCGGATGGGCGCAGGCCTCGACGGCAGGGTCGGTCGAGTCGGCGTCGCGGTCGAGAAGGTCCACCTGCTCTTGGGCTTCATGCTGCGGGGCATGGGCCAGCCAGCTCTCGCGTCGCAGGCCATGCTCATGATCTTGGGCCGGTGCGCGCGCGCGCGCCCGAGTTCAGTCGGCCGTTTATGGGGTTCTTCAACAGCGCGCGGGCTGCTGGCAGGTGGTCGCCCCATCAGGCTGCCCCGCTGGACATGAGCGACGCGCTGCTCGGCTTTGCCGTGGCGCCCCCGCCGGCCTTCGCAGGCCCGCGGGCTCGGATCGACTCCTGCGTGACCGCGACGCACGCGAGCGAGCGGGCCGGCGGCGTTTGCTACGCGGCCGGCCTCCCGGACCATGGCCTCGCGCGCGCCCGCGGACCTGCCTGCGTGGTCGCGCTGGGTCCAGGTGCGGTCGCCATCGCGGTCCGGGGGGCCCGATGGCGTCCACGGGTTGTCTTTGTGGAGCTGTTCAGCGGATCCGGAGGTGCGGCTGCGGTGATGTCGCGGCTGCCAGTCACGATCTTAGCGCACCTCTGCAGCGAGGTCGACCCGACCGCCCGACGGCTAGTTCGGCGACGTTGGGTTGGGGCCATCGAGCTGGGCGACGCCGAGACCATCGCGGCGGCGCGCGTCGCTGCCATTCTGGAGGGTTTCGGGCGCGACGCCGACAGGGTCATCGTCGTCGCGGCTGTTCTGTCGCACTCTGAGCTGATCCGTTTTGCTGAGGCTGCCATCGCAGGCCGCGTGATGCGGATCGTCGAGGACGTCTTCAGCATGACTCTCGAGTCGCGGGCGGGGTCCTCTCGCGCTGGGGGTCGCGCCAGTGCTGGTGGGCGCCAGACTTCGCGCGGGCCAGGCGGCCGCGGCTGTGCTGGCGCTCCTGGTCGGCGCCTGACCGCTGCCCAGCAAGCGGTGAGGTCGCGCCTAAGGGCGACTGGGCAGCGGTGCACCGCAAGCTTGAGCTGGTAGCGAAGCGCGCAGGTGACCGCTGCTCTCCGCCCCGGCTGGAGCCCGTTCGACCCTGAGATGGACCACCCGTGCTTCGCGAGGCCGATCATCCGGGCGCCCCCGCCGCTGCGGCCCGCGAGCATCGGGCGCGGTTCGGCAAAGACACTAGCCCGTCCGGCAACCGATGGCTACCACTGCCAGGTCAACAACTACGAGCACACGGCCCTCGTCCGGGACGCGGCGCGCGAGCAGGGCCGACTTCCCGACCCTGAGGAGCGCCGCGCATTCATGCGCTTTGATCGCTTGTATGTTCAGGGCGCCGTAGAAGATAGCATGCCGGCTGCCGAGCGCGACGTTGCCATCGAGTCTCTCATCGGCAACGCGTTCTGCGCGCAGGCGATTGTTCCTCGGCTCGTGGCCGACTCAAATGGGAGCGCTTGCGGGGCCTCTGCCGGGCCAGCAATGTTTCGCCGCAGGCTCCTGCGAGGCGAACTGGAACAGGTCGCCGACCGCGGGGGCTCAGACGTTTGGCTGGACAGCGAGGCGCCCTATCGCGTGCGCGCGGCCGCGGGCCGGGCCGCGCGCGCGCTCGCGGGCGCGGCGGCTCGCCGAGGTTTTCCCTCGGCAGCGCCCGTTGCAGATCTCGGCGCTGGAGCTGGCTGTGGCTGGCGCGCGGCGGCGGCGCCTGTCCGTGGAGATCCGCGGCCGCCGCTACCTCTGCATGTCGGATGCCCAGTCGATCGCAGTCGTCAGCGCCAAGGGGCGGGCAAGCGCGCGGGCGCCACAGCCGGCGCCCCGCCGGATCAGCGCGCCCCATCTCGCGACGGCCAGCTGCCCGCTGCGCGGCAACTGCGACGCGGGCGACATGCCGGCCGACGGACCTTCGCGCTGCTGGGGCTTCGGCATCAGCAAAGGTACAGCGAGGGCCCGTCCGTCAGCGGCGAGCGCGCGGCCCTTGCGGAAGTCCACGGTCACGACTCCCACGCTGCAGCGCGGTATCGCGCAGCACTGGATAATGTCGTCGCCTTCTGGCTGGCCGGGCAGCGAGGCCCGGGGGCGCCCGCCCAGGTCGACGCCGACCTGTCAGCATACATCGAACATCGCTGGAGGCATTAGGGCTCGTTGTTCCAGGTCAACAGCGCCAACGCAGGCGCATCTCGCATTTTTCCCCAGCGCGAGGGCATTTGCGGGAGACTCGCCCGGACGCGGCAGCGAGAGGGGCCAGCTGGCCAGGCGCTCGGGCCGCTCATAGCTGCAGCCTTTTCGGGGGCACGCGTGGCCGCTGGCCGGGCGGGCGCGGCAGCGCTCCTCGCGGCCGGGTGCGACGCGATTTTCCGGACGGTCGAGATGATGACGCTCTGGGGGGGCGGCGTGCAGCTGCGCCCGTCGGCCTGCTCTGCCGCGCCGCAACTGCGCGACACCATGTGTCAGCGACGGTCAGGCGCCAAAGAATGCGTCGTGGCGCGGGGCCGCGTAGCAGTCAAGCTCCCGGCGCGGGCGAAGGCTGCGGCGGGCCTTGGAGCTGCGCCTGGGCATTGGGCGGGGCCTTCCACGAGCTCTTCGGTGAGATTCGGGGGCTGCTGGGCTCCGTGGATTGCAAACTGACCTTGCGCAGCTGGAGACGAGGGGGCGCCTCGGCGGACCCCAAGAGCCACGGCTCCATGGAGCAGGCGCTGCTGCGCGGGAGGTGGGCCTCCGCGAGGACGGCGAGGCTGTGCGCCCAGGGCGCCGTTGCTGAGGCCTCCGCGCTGAACTTGTCGGCAGGGCAGGCGCGGCGCGCTTATCCCCTCGCAGCGCGGCTCCGTGGGGCGAGCTAAAAGCAGCCGTCGTCTCCCTCTCTGTCCCGAAACATTTCACCTGTCTCCCTCGTTCTCGGATTCAGGAGCCAGGAGTAATGAGGAGTTGAGAGGAGGGGTGAATCGGCCATCGCCAGTATGGGGCCCGTGGAAAAGCTAGTCGGTGCGGGGCCCTGATGGAGGACCCCTCCTAGTCGCGCGGCTGGCGCTTCGCCAGTGCTCCAGCGCGCGGAGGGGGTCCGCGTCGCCCCCCTGGGGCCTGGCCGTCTGGCGCCCAGCGTCTCCTGCCTGAAAGATAGGTCAGTTTCGCACTCGATATATATACATATATATATATATATATATACACAGCAGGTCCGCGCCGTCAATTTGTTTTTGTGAGACTTGCCCCTTCGTGCGCGGAAGGCACTTTATGTCGACCATACCGTGCGTATCTCTCCTCATCTCCCATGTGTCCACGCAGCTCAGTTGTGTTTCATCTGCTGCCGCTCGCGGGCATATCCAACGATGTCCCTCGGCGATTTTGCATTGGGGAGCGCGCCGAACAGCGCGCGCTGTGTCGAGCTCAAAGGATGCCACGCCGGTCTTCTTGGATCGCTTGATATATTGTAGTACTATTTGTTTGTTGTTCGCCTTGCCCATCACGCGTTCTCCCGTGTAGGGCTTCACCCCGCTGCCATTTGCCAGGCTTTTTTTCGCGGACTGGTTCAGGTGGCTTGCGCCATCCAGCCGACCCCCACAAGGAGTGAGTGTTTTAGACGATTTTAGAAAGTATATATTGGGTCAGGAGGCTCTTGGATGCATATGAGGTTTTTTTTTGTTTTTTCCCCCCCCCCCCCCCCCTTCCGGGGGTTTCTTGGAGGGCTATTTGGGACATCTGGAGGACTCTCTGGGGCCTCGTAGTGGCCTTTGGTGGGCTTTTCGGGGGCGTCTTGGAGGCCTCTTCCATGGCCTTTTTGCCAGATTGTGTGCGGACGGATTTTTTAGCACAACATGTACGTCAGCCCCTTCGCGCAGATTCCCTGAGGCCGACGTTCGAGGCCCCCGGGGCCAGATCTGTGTCTGAAGGGGTTTGGGGCCAATGTCCTTGTCAGCCTGCACCCCGTCAAGAACACTTGCATGATTTCGCTTATCCTGTTGGTATTTGCGTGGGTGCCTCATCCCTTGGTCTGGCCGCGACGCTGGCCCGCACCCGCTGCCAAGGGTGCGGCGCCGGCTGGCCGCCCCGGCCGCTCAGCGGCGGCTTCCGCCACGTGAGCGCTTCCCCTCCCCTCCCCCGCCCCGCGGCCGCCCCCTTTTTTTTCCCGCCTACGCCGCCAGACAATTAGCGCCTGCCGTCTCGTGGCCCCCCCGGGCGCGCGCGTGGACTGTCTCTGTCCCGCTGCCACATCGAATAGTTGGTAGCCGCAAAGGGGGGGCTAGATGATCTAATCTGACACGGGGTGGTGTGCGGGGGGGAACGTGGCAGCATAACTAGCTTCACGGTTGGCCGCCTGGTACACGTCGAGGTTATGTGCTTGCTCCGAGCAGTTGGCATTCTAAGGCGCCTCTTCGCGTGGCATGCAGACATCGAGGTGGGGCAGCTTGCGTATGGGAGGGTGGGAGGAGTGCGGTCTGTCCTTTTGCGGCCAAGCTGTGTGGAAAGGGTGTTTGCTGTATGACCACTTGCGTGCCGCTTCTCCTTGGCACCAACGTCGGCTGCGGTGCCGATCATTGCCCGCCTTTTTGCATCGGCAATGGGTCACTTGGATGACCTTCGGCATTGCCAAAAACGCCATAGTTCTAGAACCATTTCGACTTGATCTGGGTTGAACTCGCTAGCTGCGCGCAGATGTTTGTCACTGCCGTCCACAATATCTTTCCAGGCTTGAGCATCGGCCTGGAGTTTTTGCCGTCTTGGCAGCGGTGGGGCGCACATGGTTCACCATCCGAGGTCACAAAGCCGGGGCGTTGAACTAACGAGGGCCTTTGGCGATTTGAAACGTCGCACGTGCCAGTAATTCGGTGTAGGATGCCATTTCGGCAACAAGGAAATCAGTTATATATGCCCCCCCAAAGGCTCCAGCACAGACCCACGGCACCATCTTGATATGTCACAGGACCAGGTCTCCATACACGCTCCCGAGGACAGTGGAAAAGTTACGCGTGGGGAAAATGAGCGCTCGGGCGCGCCAGGAAACGCCCGAGCATTTTGGTCATCCTGGGTCTGGGACCTTCGATGGACATCTGCAACAGTATTGAGAGTTCGACGGGTCCCGAGGGCACCCCAGTGTCGGATTTGCTGCTGGTTATTCGGTCTGAGAGTGGCAGGGTGGTACACCGATGCAATGGTTCTTTATTCGCTCGCAGTTGCTCCCTCTATCTCCCCCTTCCCCCTGTCCTTGTCGTCCTCCTCCACGTTTTCTCGTTCCTCTACCTCTTTCTGTACCGCCCCCCCTTTCCTCCGCCACCTCCTATGGTTACATACTTTCCAACCTCCAGGTTGACATCGAGAGCCTCGCGAATGGTGTCGACTTCCAGGAGACGCAGGGCACTGGAGGGAGCGCTGCGCATGACATGGGTGTATGAGCGACGGCGGGATGCGTAGATCCTCCCTTCGAGGGGGCGGGCTGGAGGAGGCGAACGAGGGCGGAGAAGCAGGGCGGAGGAGGAGTTGGAGAAGGGGGAGAAGGAGAAGGAAGAGGAGGAGGAGGCCGAGGAGGAGGAGGAGGAGGAGGAGGAGGAGGAGGCTGAGGAGGAGGAGGAGGAGGAGGAGGAGGGGAAAAGCCTGGTGGAGCGGCGTCTCTTATTCCCATCTGCGCCCTCGGTCCAGCTCCTCATGCGAGCGCGCTCTTGCCTCCACTCCCCTCTGCCCCGCTGCCACGCCTTCCCTCCCCTCTCTCCCTTTCTTCTGAGGGGCAAACTTTGAGTATGGGGATCGACTATAGGATTGTTTTCCTTAAAAACCGATGTTCCTTTGCGAGTCCATACAACATGTCCAGAACGTTGGTATATTCACGAATATTATCCATATTGTGTTGTAGATGTGATGTGGAAGCCAAGTCTGGGGTAATCTATTGTGTAGTCAACCCACTACTCGAAAACCCAAGCCGGGACCGCGGGTGACCCGGTCGGTGCGGCCTCGGGGAGAAAGTGCCAGAAGTTGTGCTTGCGGACCTTCTAGAGGGAGGGGCTGTGGCTGGAGGAGCACCATGCGTTGAGGGTGCGAGCAAGGAGCGAGCAAGCGTGCGAGCCACCAATGCGGAGCATCTTCTGGGCTTATCTCTGAGGCTATGCTGGCGAGGCCGCGGCCTTCCTATGCGTATATATGTATAACCTCATGCCCGTGATAATAAACACTAGGGGATAATAAAGTTCGGGGTTCAGGGAGAGATAATAAAAGTAGCCCAGCAGACCTCAGCATAATCTCGAAGTAAGAGATGATCAAGAGGAGACCAAGCCGAGCACGTTTTGAGACATCCTTGGCGTTTAGTCTTCATAGACATATCCTCAACAATGGCTTATCTCGCTGGAGACATCCTCGACAAATCCCTTGTTTCGCTTGAGACATCCACAAACTATTGCTTATTTCGCTTGAGACACCGTCAAACTATTGCTCATTTCGCTTAAGAAAGGCGGAGAAATGGAGAAAGCGATATACAAAAACAACATAAAGATAAACAATAAGGAATGAACAAAGAAACAGGAACACCATCAAAAAGAAAAGAACATAGAGGAGGAGGAGGAGAAAGAGAAGGGACAATCTCAAGTTCAAATGTATTAGATTTTATTTACACGCGCTTTATGCCAATTAAAGTTTTTAAGTGCTCGTGTAGGGTAGCTCATGTGCTTCATTTTCCATGGATAATCAACCCCAGGGATAAGAAAGTTCAGAGGGAGGGGCATGGAGAGAGAGAGAGAGAGAGAGAGAAAGAGAGAGAGAGAGAGAGAGAAAGAGAGATACATCATAAAGAAAAAGAAAGGAAGGACTTAAATAGATAATATATTTTTAAAATAAAAGTAGAATAAATGAAACGGATAAAGAGAAGAGGAAATGAGGATAAGACAAACAATCTGAATATTCAAATGTATTAAATTTTATTTACATGCGCTTTATGACAATAAAAATTCTTAAGTGCTCGTGTAGGGTAGCTCACGTGCCTCGTTTTCCCTGGAGAATCAACCCCAGCGATAAACAAGTTCAGGGCGCCAGGGGGAGGAGGAGAAATAGATAGAGAGACAGAGAGAGAGAGACAGAGAGGCCAGGACGGAGAAAGAGATAGAGAGACAGAGAGAGAGAGAGAGAAAGAGAGACAGAGAACTAAATAAAGAAAGAGAGACATAAAGAACTACAAAGAGACAGAAAGACATTGGTTTCGCTTGAGACATCCTGAAACAGCGTGTTCGCTTCGCTTGATGTTGTTATCTCAACATAAGAAGGAAGTAACTTCGATGGCAAACTTTTCCCGTGATAATGAAGTTCGGCCTCCGCGCCCCCGCGCCCCCGACCAAACTCTTATAAGAAGAAACAGAGGGAGCGGCGGAGGAGGAGGAGGAGGAGGAGGAGGAGGAGGAGGAGGAGGAGGAGGAGGAGGAGGAGGAGGAGGAGGAGGAGGAGGAGGAGGAGGAGGAGGAGGAGGAGGAGGAGGAGGAGGAGGAGGAGGAGGAGGAGGAGGGGGAGGAGGGGAGAAGGAGGACGAGGAGGAGGACGAGGAGGAGGAGGAGAAGGAGGAGGAGGAGGAGGAGGGAGGAGGAGGAGGAAGGAGGGGCGGTGGCTGCGCGCCAAGCGAGCCCGGGCGCGGCACCAAGGAGACCGTGAACAGGGCCAAGTTCGAGGAGCTGAACAACGACCTCTTCAAAAGGACGCTGCTGCCGGTCCTCTGGCCCCCTCTCTCTCGGGGACATGGGGCGAGGAGGCGGAGGAGGACGCGGACGAGGAGGAGAAGGAGGAGGAGGAGGAGGAGGGGGACAGGGGAGGAGGAGGAGGAGGAGGAGGAGGAGGAGGAGGAGGAGGAGGAGGAGCATCGATGAGGAGGAGGGGAGGATCATGATAATGATGATGATGATGATGATGATGATGATGATATGATGATGATGATGATGATGATGATGATGATGATGATGATGATGATGATGATGATGATGATGATGATGATGATGATGATGATGATGATGATGATGATGATGATGATGATGATGATGATGATGATGATGATGATGATGATGATGATGATGATGATGATGATGATGATGATGATGATGATGGTGGTGGTGGTGATGATGATGATGATGATGATGAGGAGGAGGAGGAGGAGGAGGAGGAGGAGGAGGAGGGGGATGAGGGGGAGGGGGAGAGGGAGGGGGAGGGGCAACTAGGCAACAGGCAGGGGCAACTTGAACATGCGGGATGGTGATAATGATTACGTTCGGACCGATGTATAAGATCGAGGTCGGTTCGGGAAGGATACCCTACTGCTCTTCGTGCCTCTGGGATGTTCTTGTGCATTCCGGGGAGGGCGCCCTTGGATGTTCTGCGTGTTTTGACTGGCGGAGGGTCTCATTTTCTTGAGGGATGCTCTTCTGGCCTAGGTCCGACTGTACTGAGTACGAGTTTGATGAGGAGGCGGATGATGAGGATGATAATGTTTGATGATGTTGAGGTTTTGATGAAGATGGCGACGGTGATGGTGATGGCGATGATGGCGATGGCGATGGTGGTGATCTATGGTGATGATGATTGGGCGGGGAACGACGATGACGAGGAAAGAGAAGCCAGGAGCGACGATGACGAGGAATGAAGAGGTCCAGTCGAGCACGATGAGAACGAGGACCAGTGGCAAAGACGTGGGAATAGGAGGAAGACTGGGAGCATCAGCAGCAGATGGAGGATAACTGACCGCAGCAAGATGTTTGTGCGAGCGTATCGCCGCTCAGTTGGCGCAGCTTTTTTGCAAACGTCTCGTAAATCTTCCTCTTGGTATCGCTCGGACGTGTGCACTTTTTCCCGGTGGAGGTTATCATGGAGCATCCTGGATCATCCTGCGAAAAAAAAACACACGCACGAAACCGAACAAAAAGCACAGGGAATGGACGTCCGAGCGATGGCCAGTTCCTAGCCCATGCGCGGATACATGATATGAGGGGCGATTTGGTCCTTGGGCCCAGGGGGCGGCCCGTTTTTCCGAACTCCCCCTCCCCCATGGTAATCTACTCTTTCCGCTGGGCGTCCGTCGCCGCAAGGTTCTCGCAGTCCGTGCGCGTGGTCGCGCACGTGTGGAGCTGGGTCGTTTTGTCGAGGGCGGGCGCTGGAGCCCTCAGAGCGCGCGAGATGTGCGCGCGGGTCCAGTTCGGCGGCTACGAACGGTATGGTTTCAGGAGGGGAAAAAACACAGACACAATTAATCGTCGATTCCCCCGAAAATATGGGAAAATATGGGAAGTGGGGGGAAGACAAAAACATAGAAAATAAATATGTGAAAATACGAGGAATCCTTTTATTTGTGTGTATTTATTTGTGTGTCCCAGGGCCCCTTCAACGACGCTGTCCTCGTCGGGCCTCCCCGAGGCGCGGCGGAGAGCTCCGTCGAGGTCCCCGCCCGCACCCCACGGGTGCCCCCCGGGGTGCCAGTTGCGAACCACACCCTTGGCAGACCTCACCCTTCGGATCTGGACGCCCGAAATGGGCACGGAAAGAATGGGTACAATGCCCAACAGCAGTTCCTGTTCATTTTGAACAGGATTCGCTGTCCACGCCGCCGCGGCCTGTGTCCATTCGAGACAGAAGGCCGCCTGCCCAACAGCGGCCGCTGTTGGTTTGGGACAACATTTGTTGTTGGGCATTGTACACATTTTTCCGTACCCATTTCGGGCGTCTAAATCGGAGTCGCCGACTAGCAGTACAGTCGGGGCGCTGAAGAAGGAGCCCTGCTCGTTGGCGAGGGGCTCGGTGTGCCTGGATTGCTTTGCACCGTTGGCCTTGGGTCTTCCATGGGACATCGAGGTTTCACTTCTGGGAGAAAAAGGGGCCTCGTTCCTTCTTTAGGGTTCCTCAGGTCAACGCCCCGACCGTAACTCAAGTTCTCCATCGTCGTTCATGTGAGCGCCAAGCCAGTGCGCATCGCATTCTCAATGCCGGCGTGCGCTTCTCGGCGGCGGGGGGGGGGTCGGGCCTCGAGAGTGCGCGCGCCGCCGGCGAAGGGCAGGGCACGACGGGAGGGGGCACCCTTTTTTTCGCCCCCAGGTCAAGCAGGTGCTGGAGGACGGGAAGATGAAGAAGGACGAGGCGACGCCTAGCCTTCTGCTCTCTCTCTCTCTCTCTCTCCCCCTCTCGATGTATAGATCCCTATATATATACACAGAGAAACATGCGGCGTTCCAGAAAGGGCCTCGCCTCCGAGGATCGAAGGAGTGGGCATCTCTTCCGCGGTGGAAGGTCGGCGGGAGGCCGCGGAAGGAAGGCGTCGGCGGCGGCTCCGTAGGCGGGTGCCGGCGGAAGCCTGGCGGAAGCCGGCGGAAGCCAACGTCGTTTCCCCAAGAGATGACAACAAGGTTCAGGTGTTTTTGTTCCTCTTCTCCTCCTATCCCTGCCTCACTCCCTCCCTCCTGCCTTGATGGCCCCTCCTTCTTCCCTTCCTCCCTGCTTCCTCCTCTCATCGCTCCACTTCTTCGGCCCCGAGCCGTGAGTAGCTTTGGGAACCGCCGCAGCGGCAAGGCGGCGGTTCGGCTGACCGTCTAAGTCCCATTCCATTCCATTCCTCTGCTCCCTCTTGCCTTCTCTCTTTGCCTTCATCTGTACCCCTTGGCATCGCTCAGACGTGTGCATTTTTTCGGCGATGACCATCGAGGAGCATCTTGGAGTTTGTTTTTTATTCGGGGCCGATAACGGCCGTCATCTGGGGGGGGGAGGGGTCCGTTGACGTCACGTTTCGCGCTGGCGGCGTCTGGGAATGCCAGAAAGGACCGAGGACGGGTAGCAGCAGCGTGTAGGTGGCGATCTGCACCACAGCGCCTGGGTACACTACAGTGCTTGCGTGCACCACATTGCCTGTGTACACCAAACTGCCTACGTACACCAAATCAGCCGCGTGCAACACAGCGCCAGTGTGTGCCACACCACAGTGCCTGCGTGCACTACAGCGCTTGTGTACACCACATCGCCTGCGTACACCACATCAACCGTGTGCGACATAACACCAACCGTTGCGTCCTTGCCTCAGCCTTCCGGGGTTTGGCAACTCGCCGCCCAGAAGTGCCTACTTCCACGTCCGAGGCCGTTGCGTCCTTACCGCCCGTCCTTACTATAGATTTCGATTGTAGTTGTCCGCAGCAGATCCTGGCCCACTTGCTCCGCCTACCTGACCTGTGCTCGCATGCGTTGTTGTGTACACCAGCGCTGCGTTGAACGCGGATGCTGTGGTGTACACAGGCGCTGTGGTGTGGACAGGCGCTGCGGTGCACGCGAGCATTGTGGTGTACGTAGGCGCTGTGTTGCAGACGGCAGCTGCGGTGTACACGTTCGCTGTGGTGTACACGCGCGCCGTGGTGCACGCGAGCGTTGTGGTGTACACAAGCGCTGCGTTGCACACGGCTGTTGCGGTGTACGCAGACGCTGTGGTGTGCTCTCGCGCCGTGGTGCACGTGAGCTTTGTGGTGTACACACAGGCGCCGTGGTGCAGATCGCAACCTACATGCTGCTCCTTCTTGGCCTCTGCCATCCCCAGGCATTCCCGGACGCCGCCGGCGCGGAACGTGACGTCATTTGTGTGTGTGGGGGGGGGGGGCGGGGCCGGTGATGGCTGCGATCCCGGAAATTACAGCAAAAACAGGTTCTTGGATCGTCGTGCGAAAAGCTTAATGCACGAAGCCGGCAAATGCACGGGGAATGGACTCCCGAGCACTGGCGAGACTCCCTCCTCGCGCCGTCCTCCTCCCTCCCCCCCACGGGCCCCCTTCTTCCTCGCTCCCCCCTTCCCCTGCTCTGCTATCCCGGCCCTCCTCCCTCTCCATTGGCATCGCTCGGACGTGTGCATGTTTCCTCGGCGAGGACCATCGAGGAGTATCCTGGATCATCTGGCACCGTCCGAAAAAAACACACGGAACGGACGTTCGAGCGATGGCAAGGTCCCTCCACCTCACCCGTCCAATTTCCTCCGTTATCGCTCTGCCTCCCGCCTGCCTTTAACATCCTGTCTCCTCCGCCTCTGCCCCCTTTCTCATTTCTCCATCCTCCCTCCACCCCCGTCCATGCCGCAGGGGGCCAGGGCGGTGGCCGAGTAGAGTGGCGGAAGAGGTCGAGCCATCGTATGCCTTTCGCAGTCCTTTGCGTGATGCCACCATCGTGACATAGGTAGGGTTTTGCCGTGCGATGTAGAGGCAACAAGCTAGCTTGGAGCCAATCGCAGTGTGTTTGTCCCCGTGACCCGCATGATTCAAATCCGCGGGTATCAGAGTTCATCCACTCGTCTTCTTATGGTTCCGCGTGATACGCTTGCCTTGAACGTTCGAGTGTTCCCGAACACAGGAGGAGGAGGAGGAGGAGGAGGAGGAGGAGGAGGAGGAGGAGGAGGAGGAGGAGGAGCCACATCCCACTTGACCTTCTTACTCGTCCTCATCGCCCTTGTTGCTCTTCTCCGCCGCCAACTCCCCTCCACTCCCGCATCCCCCCGATCCCCTCTCTCACTTCCCCCTCCCCTCTCCCCCTCGGGCCGAAACCTGCACTGGCACGGGTGCAGGCCAGGTCGGGGGCCTTTGCTCCTGGCCTTGGGTGCACCCGCGCCGCTGGCCATCGGGTGTAGCTCGCCCCCCCAGGCATTGCCAACATGCCTTCGGGCGCTCCCCTCCTCCGAGCCTCCTCCCTTGCCTGCCTCCCTCCCTTGCGTGCGGGCCTCGCAGGGTCGCGGCCTGCAGAGAGGGCGGGGAGCGCGCAGAGCAGTCGGTCTGGATCACGCCGAGCTCGGCTGCGCACCGAGCTCAGCCCGCCAGGCCAGGCGGGGGCCGTGGCGGAGGCCTCGCGCTCCAGCTCCCGTGCCCAGACTCCTCCGTCCCGTGCGGGCCGGGCAAAACTGGCAGTCGGGAGTTTGCGTCGGTGCGCGGCCGGTGCAGGGAGCAGTCGGCTGGTCGCGCGACATCGCGCCGAGCAGTTTCATGACCAGAAGCGGTCCTCGGAAGCAGTCTCTCCTGCCCCTCCTCCTCCTCCTCCTCCTCGCTCCTCCCCCTCCTCCTCATCGCTCCTATACGCTCCTCCTCCTCGCGCCTCCCCCTCCTCCTCATCGCTCCTCCACGCTCCTCCTCGCTCCTTCTCGTTCACGCTCGCGACTCTGCTGCGATCGTCCCTCCTCCCTCCCCCTCCCTCTCCGCCTGTGAGGGCCCTGCCCTCCTCTGCCGGGGCGGTCCCCTCTGCACCCGAGGTGGACGAGATCGTCCTGGTGGGCGGCTCCACGCGGATCCCCAAGGTCAGGGGGCGCGGTGGCAAGCGGCAAGACGAATGGGGAGTGGGGGGGGAAAGAGGGAGTCACCGAGCGCGTTCCACTACTCGCAGAGTGCCTACTCGCAAACGTCCGAAAACACACATGTCCGCTTGGGTGTAATTTATCGTAGATCCTCCGCGGGGCATCCAGGCCAATTGCGGGTAGTCACTTTGCGAGTAGCGGAACGCGCTCGTCTAGGGAGAGGAGAGAAAGGGAGGATGCGAGAGGAGGAGGAGGAGGATCGGGGACGCAGGAAGGGGGAGCAGGGCGAGGAGGGGGTGAAGAGGATGGGGGGAGGTGGAGTAGGGGATGGGATGGGGAGCAGGAGGAGGAGGAGGAGGAGGACGAGGATTCCTATGACGGGTTCAAGAAAGGGCGCCACGTCGAGCGAGGGTCGCCCGAGCCACCCCTGCACGAGAGCTGGCGCCAACGCCCGGCAGAGCTGGGCCCCCCCTGGCCCAGAGCCGCGGGGGGCGGCACGAGCGAGGCCGCACTCCGCCAGACCTCACCCGGTGCGTCCCTGTACTCGCAGAGTGCCTACTCTCTAGGCCTCCTGGATGGGGTCGGAGTGGAGGGTGTCGGAGGGTCGCGCAGCATCGCCGACGCATCGACGATGCGGCTCGATGCAGTGCCCGATTTGCTTCGCGCCGACGTCGCCGATGCATCGCCAGCGCCGCTGGTGCATCGCCAACGCATCGCGGATGCATCGGCGATGCACTGGCGATGTAGTGCGATCCTCCGACCCCTATCTACTCCGACCCCATCTAGGAGGCCTCCGTACTCGCAAACGTCCGAAGAACACATTTTGCTGGCATGAGATTGATCGTAGATCCCCCGCGGCGGACCCAGGCCCATCGCGAGTTGTTACTCTGCGCGCAGTGGAAC